ATATCAGATATTATTTCCTAACACCATATTCTGCACATACCCGTGCCACCGAGATGACAGCCTCAACCTTTTTTATTAGTTAAAGTTTCTGCTTAGCTTTTTGGCACTATATTATTTACTTGTTTTAGAACCCATTGTTAACTGCACTTTACTTATCAGTCACACAAAACACACAAAATCCTGGGAAAATTATGACTGAATGATAAGTGTATGTGTGAGTGAGCACAAACAATAAATTGTCATGGGAGGTCTATAGCCCAGGGAATAATGAAAACAGACAGGTCCAGGACATGGCCACTCTGGCCTGTACCAGACAAACACCAGAGCTTAAAATGTATCTGGAGAGCTGCAACACAACACATGGACACAACACAAAGAACAACTATCTCTCACATTCCACATGTACAACTTAACTTATTCAAAAACTCCATGGAGATAAAAGGCCCAAAAACCTGGAACTCACTGCAGTATGAAAATGACAAAAAGTTCCCCATATGCCAATTAGCTGTAGCTGTAGAAGCACCTCAGGGTAGTGTCCTAGGCCTACTCCTCTTTCTCATCTACATCAATGATCTCCCCAATGCATCCCAACTCCTTAAACCACTTCTATTCACAGATGACACTACATATGTCTACTCCCATTCAGACCCAGTTGTGCTTTGAAACACTGTAAACAATGAACTGCTAAAGATATATGCTTGGATGATGACCAATAAACTCACTCTCAACATAGACAAAACATACTTCATGCTGTTTGGCAACGGAGCCTCAAATATCCAACTTAACATTCTGTTAAATGGTTCCCCTATATCAAGACATGCAGAGGGCAAATTTCTAGGTCTTCTCCTCGACTGTAATCTTAAATTTCAGTCCCATACCCATCACATAGCCAAGAAAATTTCCAAATCAGTAGGAATCCTTTCCAAGATATGATACTATGTACCACAAACGACTCTCCTTACCCTGTATCACTCTGATATATCCTTACCTCATCTATAGTATTTGTGCCTGGGGCTCAACCACAGCCAACGACCTTACACCCTTAATAATCCAACAAAAAACTGTTGTGCGAGTGATAGCCAGCTCCTGTGCTAGACAACACACCCCACCACTTTTCAAAAGACTCAACTTGCTAAATATACAAGACATACACTCTTATTATTGTGCCTACTACATATACAGAACATTAAACTCCAATGTAAACCCTCCCCTAAAACAACTACTTGACAGATACAACAAAATGCACAGGCACTTTTCAACAACCCTCGAGTCAGACTCTCACTATGCAAGAATGCTATGCACATAAAAGGCCCAAAAATCTGGAACTCGCTACCAGAACAGGTCAAGGATCCCCTGACAGCTTATACATTTAGGACCTTGCTAAAAAATCATCTTATCTCACAATATTAACCAAATCAACCAAACATCTGCTAACTAGTTTTATTATGTGACCTCTAGGTTCTGAATTCTGCCAAACCATAAAATCATCTTATATTTTATTATTTATTATCACACTGGCCGATTCCCACCAAGGCAGGGTGGCCCGAAAAAGAAAAACTTTCACCATCATTCACTCCATCACTGTCTTGCCAGAAGGGTGCTTTACACTACAGTTTTTAAACTGCAACATTAACACCTCTCCTTCAGAGTGCAGGCACTGTACTTCCCATCTCCAGGACTCAAGTCCGGCCTGCCGGTTTCCCTGAACCCCTTCATAAATGTTACTTTGCTCGCACTCCAACAGCACGTCAAGTATTAAAAACCATTTGTCTCCATTCACTCCTATCAAACACGCTCAAGCATGCCTGCTGGAAGTCCAAGCCCTCACACACAAAAACCTCCTTTACCCCTCCCTCCAACCTTTCCTAGGCCGACCCCTACCCCGCCTTCCTTCCACTACAGACTGATACACTCTTGAAGTCACTCTGTTTCGCTCCATTCTCTCTACAATGTCCGAACCACCTCAACAACCCTTCTTCAGCCCTCTGGACAACAGTTTTGGTAATCCCGCACCTCCTCCTAACTTCCAAACTACGAATTCTCTGCATTATATTCACACCACACATTGCCCTCAGACATGACATCTCCACTGCCTCCAGCCTTCTCCTCGCTGCAACATTCATCACCCATGCTTCACACCCATATAAGAGCTTGGTAAAACTATACTCTCATACATTCCCCTCTTTGCCTCCAAGGACAAAGTTCTTTGTCTCCACAGACTCCTAAGTGCACCGCTCACCCTTTTCCCCTCATCAATTCTATGATTCACCTCATCTTTCATAGACCCATCCGCTGACACGTCCACTCCCAAATATCTGAATACATTCACCTCCTCCATACTCTCTCCCTCCAATCTGATATCCAATCTTTCATCACCTAATCTTTTTGTTATCCTCATAACCTTACTCTTTCCTGTATTCACTTTTAATTTTCTTCTTTTGCACACCCTACCAAATTCATCCACCAATCTCTGCAACTTCTCTTCAGAATCTCCCAAGAGCACAGTGTCATCAGCAAAGAGCAACTGTGGCAACTCCCAGTTGCTCTTTGCTGATGACACTGTGCTCTTGGGAGATTCTGAAGAGAAGTTGCAGAGATTTGGTTAATATTTCTCAATATTAACCAAATCTGCCAAAACATCTGCTAATTACTCTTATCATGTGACTTCCTGGCTTTTAATTCTGCCATTCCATAAAATATTACCACCTTCACCATTACTTGTAAGGTAGAGTTTGTGTGCAATTTCAAGCTTATTTTACCAAACCCTACTCACTTGTACTAAGTTTAAATAAAATTGTATTAAGTTTAAATAAGATTGTAAAACAGCTAACCACTATTACTTGTCTAGTTTTAAGTATAGTTACTATGTACTTTTATCTTATCTAGTTTTAATTAGTTACTATGTATTAGTATTAGTTTGCCCGAAATGCCTCAGCATGATAGTGGCTATCTTTGTACTAGCAAATCAAAATTGTAATTACACATTGTAACCTTTACAAAGAAATAAACTTTACTTTACTTATATTCTCGTTTTCGTAGTCACATTTGATAGAATGGAAAACATACTATAGAAATGGAGGTGATTTTGATTGGTTTTACTATGAAAAGCACCTTGAAATGGAGCTGAAAATAGGGGAGATGTTTGATTTTTGCCGATGTTCAAGAGTAAATGTTACAAACCCAGAAAAGAGACAATTGGGAAAGTGATTGACTGACCACTTTGGTGCTGCTGCCAGACAGCAATACCCAGTGTGATGTCACCATACTTTATGTCGAGGCTGGTGAACCAACCTCATTCAGTGTGTCGACCACAGCTCACTGAGTCTGATGGCCTCAGAATTACCTGACGGCTTCATTCCGTGTATTCACAACATAGTGTGTTCTGCACAGCTCACTGAGAGTTAAGACCTCTTACATAGTGTGAGTTTAGCACGGCTTTGTAGCTTGACTTTGCTGGTAATGTTTTCTGCTGGGAACATGGACTTAGTTTCCAGATGGCAGCAACTGGACTTAGTTTGCTGCTGGGAACGATTGGACTTCGTTCCTGATGGCATCAAATAACTTAGTTTCCTGCTGACTACGGAGTTTCCTGATGGCAGCGAATGGACTTAGTCAGCTGGCCCCAACAACGGTGTTAGTGTTGGACACTGCAAGTTGTCACATGGACAGGGAGCGTTACAGCGCAGAGATTAGGGTGTCGTGTGGACACAGGCGAGAAGGAGTGTTATAACAGAGACAAGGGTGTCGTGTGGACACAGTAGCAAAGGTGTGTAGATGTACATGGAGACAAGGGTGTCGTGTGAACACAGTTGAGATGATATGTTATAACGCAGAGACAAGGGTGTCATGTGACACAAGAGAGAAGGTGTGTTATAACTCTGAAGGGTGTGGTGACACTGAGTGTTATAATGGTGTCATGCGTCATAGTTGTTACATGGGTGTTGTTTGTGATGTTGCAGTAAATTGTGATGGTAGTAACAGATAGTCGTGTTTGTGATATGGTGCTTTGTAAATGTGATAATTCTGGTTGTGAGAAATGAAACCAAAGAATACACTTTTATGTTGTCTTTTATAATGCTCTTATTCTATAATTTACTAGTAAAGATTAAAAATATTATGTGTATTTTTGTACTCCCGGACAAATATTTTTATTACAGTTTGGATGATGGGCTAAGAAGAATATTGCAATTAACAGGCTAGTTGAAGCTTTAATCATCCAGATTGTAATATTGTAATAGTAAACAAATGACATCATTGTCCAATAAATGTCCAACTAGCTATTCTAATATGCAGTCATGAATGGGTTGACATTATTTATACAATTATTACAATACTGCAGTAGTTTGCATAGCAGTAAATCTTCTATTTTTTGTTTGAATAAAAATTCAAAATAGAAAGCAAGAGTAATATCAGAGGGACTTGGAAATGTGACTGATTAACAAAGAAAATGTTATTTTAGAGCCAGGAATGTCTGCATTGTTCATTCTAGACCCTATTTTGAAATTGGCATCTTTTTTAATTTGCGTGAAATTGGCCAAATTGCAAATTTCTTACCACTTTATTGGGTAGTTGAAATTGGTAAATGGGCAGTTTCTTGTACTCAATCGATAGAACAAAAGGAGTTCTAAAGAAATAGCTACGAGTTTGGTCGACTGGGATGATGGAATTAGCCAAAAATAGGGCTCAAAGTGGGCGTAATCACCGGTTCGTAAACATCGCCGAGGTCGCTAACTTCACGAGAGTGTAATTCCGTAAGTTTTCTATCAAATTTTGTACTTTTGGTGTCATTACCATCGGGAAAAGATTCTCTATCATTTCATAAGAAAAATTTTTTTTTTTTTTCAAATATTTTGCAACACCAGGAGACACCCCAGTTTTTGGGGTTGTGACAGTCAAAGGGTTAAAAAATGGTAAATTTATAGCCAAGGATGTATGGTGTGATATATGCATGATATTTTTTATAAATTGACATAAAGAGTTTAAGTGTTTTTTACACTTACCAGTGTAGTGTCCTCCCTGCATGTCCTTGCCATGATGGTAACACACTGCATAGAGATCATAGACATTATCTTCACTGTGAGGTATGAAGCGCTTTGGTCTTTTCCAAGGGGACCACACACCACCTAACACACTTGAGTCCACACTACTGTTAGTGTATGTGTGGTTAGGTTTACTGGCTACATGTTCAGAAATGTCAAAACCGGTTAGTGGAAATTTCACTGCTGTTGAGAGTTTGGACGAATTACTCTGCAGTGTACCCTGTTTAAAAAGAAAATAAGTATTACCTTTTCACTTTTAATTTATTCAATTTGCTAAACAATTGCTCACAAAACTACAGTATATAAAAACATGAATGAAGTGCTTTAGTAGAAATATGTGGAATCACTACAATGAATTTTCCCAGACATTTCAACTGCCTATAAGTGTTCAAAGACTCTGAAAGAACAATTTAAATATTTTTCAAAAAGAATTCCACATACTGTACTATTACTCACAACTTGCACTAAGGAACTATATGTGCAGTAAGAATAAAAAGAGCCTTATAAAGTATATATGAAAACAAAGAAGGAAAGAGATGGAGAGGAAAGACAAATGCACAAGTTAGATGAAAATATAAGCAATGTGAGTGCAGCCAAAGCAAAGAACCATTAATGGAATAAGAGGTACAGTACATATTTTGCTATGCCAATAATAACTTTCATGTAAGTAACAAAGGACTACCAGTCTATTACCAACACAGAATAAGTAAGATTATAAAATTTATAAATCTACTCTGGCATTAAAACAGTTGTTCTCCTCTCTCCCTTTTCCCAGCAAACACTTGACCATGTTGATCTCCTGTGTTGGTAGAACATTTTTCAGGCTCTTTTGTTATTAAGTTCAATATCTGCTGTTTAAAGAGAGTAAATTTAGAACAGGAAACAGAAAAAGTTATGATATTATTAAAACTACCACATAAAGGGAAAATTTTAATATTCTGAAGACTTTCACATTTCTTGACTGATGTTTACCAAAATAATATGAACCCACCACAAATGCAGAAAAAGAACATGTAGAAACTGACTAGCATATAGCTGGTGAAAGTGAATTGGTGCAGCCTTCCATATATGAACATTTCTCTAATTACCACTACAAGCTTCTACAAGTCCCATAGCACCCAGGAAGTCATCATACAGCTGGCTAACACCTAGGTAGTATCTATTTTATGTGTAAGGTGTTAGGAGACTTGCTCATATTGTATATCTAAACTTGCCCAAGACTGAATCCGGGTTGAGTAATATGGTTCCGAGCCATACATGCTAGAGAAAAAAACTCTAAGTTAGCATCCATGATGGTGCAAGAAAGCAAGGCAACCCACGAGGTTAAATCTTTTGTAGGTGATCCCTCCCATGAAAGACCAAAGGCTCAATAGCACTGAGATGAGTTCAGTGATGAGTTCAGTGCTATTGAGCCTTCCATTTACATTAGAAAAGGGAAAACAACAACACTTCCTTTCCATGTCCTAACACACAAAAACACTACCAGCAACTCAGTGTGTACTGTAAACCCACCAACCAAAATGATTTTCATAATTTCTGGTCTCAACACTCCAGAAACAGAACCTACAACACATTTCCTGGAAAATGAGTGCATCAAAATTACTGAGATCTTCCACATTTTCCTGTTACCTTCTTGCAGGATTGTGTAAGGAAATCAGAGAATAACTAGCACTTTTAAATCGATACCAACAGTAACTGCTTTTTAATCCATCCAACTTCCACGGTGCCTGAGAATACTTCTAAGTTACTTATGAAAGCCAGTTACATCACCACCATGTACACCAATATCAAAGACATTACTAGATCTAAGAGGATAAATGCCAGCCCTGAGGAGAGTGCAGACATCTACACCATTAACTGTAGTAATTGTAATGAAGTGCATATTCATAGATGAGACGGATAGGGATTTGTCAAAACATGCATACTAACACAGATATACTTGCCACACTGAACATATCAACAATGCCTGTGTTTTACAATGTAACATGGCTTCATACCACATAGCTTGGCTCGGGGCAAGCATAGTTATCTGAGAGAAAGACAGGAACAGAAAATGCTTTAAAATGGTTCTCATACCACAGACACCATCACCCAGAACCAGGGAATTTTCCAGTTGGTAGGACCCTGACTTTCAAGATTCTCAGCATACACACACACTGCCCTACTGACCTGACAGTGAGGTCTACACCTCATGATTCCTCATCACCTGCTCTCTCAACAGTACTTTACCTACTTTACCTTCAATATAAATACCTGGGACAGGTTTCAAGAGTTTGTCTACTCCCATGGCCTGGCCCTGGGCCAGGCTTGTATGGTGCTAGACTAGTCAGCCAAATTTTTTTTTAAACACTAGCCATCTCCCACTGCAGTAGAGTTAATCTCCCACCTTTCTTTCCCCAAAACATGGAAACAAATGCCATCATTCATTCAACAACTGTCTTGCCACAAATGCAAAGACGAAATCTACCAAATGCATCGCAACTACTCAAACCCCACACTATTTGCAGATGACACTACATACGTCTCCTCTCACCCAAGCCCAGTCATGCTAGCCAATACTGTAAATACCGAATTACAGAAAATATCTACCTTGATGATGACTAACAAACTTACTCTCAACATTGACAAAACCTACTTCATTCAGTTTGGAAACAGAGCTAAAAGTGTCCCTCTTAACATAATGATAAACGGATCACCTATCACAGAGCTCACAGAGGGAAAATTCTTAGGAATCCACCTTGATAATAGGCTCAAATTTCAAACACATGTACAACAAATTTCCAAGACTGTAGGCATACTATCGAAGACAGGGTACTATGTTCCACAGTCAACCCTCCTGGCCCTATATCACTCGCTCATTTGCCCCTATCTCACCTATGGAATTTGTGCATGGGGCTCAACAACAATAAACCATCTCAAACAATTAATTACCCAACAAAAGGCTGCAGTCATAATGATAACAAATTCCCACTACAGGCAGCACACTCCACCAATATTCAAAACTCTAAACCTACTCACCGTACAAAACATCCATACTTATTATTGTGCCTACTGCATACAGAGAACACTTAACTCGGATATAAACCCTCCCCTCAAACGTCTCTTTACCAACCTCAACAGAACACATGACCATAACACAAGGCACAGATCACTCTTTGATGTTCCTCATGTCCATCTCACATTATGCAAAGACTCAATGCACATAAAAGGCCCAAAAATCTAGAATTCATTACCTGTGAACATAAAAGAAACACTGTCTGTTTATAAATTCAAGTCTCTTCTTAAAAACCACTTACTCACCCACAACTAAATAAATACTGAATAACTGTATCTTATAAATGTATAACCTGTGACCCTATCAAACTTTGTTTTTTAATTACATTACCTTGAATGCACAGTAACTTGTCAAATGACCATATGATCTGTCTTTGAAATACTCATTTGTGCTTAATTGTTATTTGTTTACTGTAATTTTTACCACTGAATATATCATTGCTTAGTTAATTTTAAAGTTAGTTAATTTTTAAAGTTAATTTTAAGTCTGCCCATAATGCTCTGCATACAAGGGGCTTTTGGCATGTACACTTAACCACTGTATTTCTTTGTACATCTATGTATCATGTCCAAATTAATAATAAATATATAAATAAATCATTCAAATGACTCTCCAAAATGCAATATCCCCACCCCTGCTTCAGAGTGTAGACATACTATTTCTCACCTCCTAGAGGACAAAAAGGCACAATACCCTGACTGGAACAACACACAAATAACCTGCACATAGCAGACTGAAACTTATGACAACATTTCAGTCTCACTTGGACCATTAAGAATATAATAATATCTTTATTTACTACAAGTATACAGGCCTAGCTGACATCAGTGACATATGTACTGCTGTATAGAAAGCCCCTTGTTATGCTGAGCATTTCAGGCACATCCCAGGATGTGACCCACACCAGTCGACTAACACCCAGGTACCCATTTTACTGATGGGGAACATAGACAACAGGTGTAAAGAAACATGCCCAATGTTTCTACTCTGGCTGGGAATCGAACCCAGGCCATCAGCGTGCGAAGCGAGAGCGTTAGCCACCAGAGCCCTTTCACAGAAGCTCTTAGGGAAGGAAGCCAGTATATATACAAGACGGGGGTGGTGCTGGGAATAGTAGAACGAAAGTAGTATAAAGTAGCACAATTGGAGGAGGAGAGAGGAGGGATATTACAACCCAGGGGTCCCAAAAGCCTGTTATCCTGGGTGTAAAGGGAGCAAAACAAACACAGCAGAAAAACTTTTGACTTGAAGATTGAGCCACTTACGCAGCATATGGGAATCTTTATTCAGGAAACGTTTCGCCACACAGTGGCTTCATCAGTCCAATACAAAGAGGAAGGCGTAAGGAGAGGAGGAGAATGAGGTAATCAGTCCCTCAACCTGGAGTCGATGTGTTCAGTCCATCAATCTTGTAGAATGTACAGCATAGGGCCGTAGACGTGGCTTATATACTGTAGTGAGGTGAGGTGAAGCAGGCAGAGGTGGGGTCATAGTGGTACCATCCACTAGTCGAAGTAGGTCTTCGTCCAAAGGTTGAACAAGTGTTGAAGAATTCTTTGTAACAAGATCCCATGATGCTGCAGTGTCTGACAGTTGTGATGAATGGTTTGAAAACCTGACAAGTTGAAGATTGAGCCACTTACGCAGCATATGGGAATCTTTATTCAGGAAACATTTCGCCACACAGTGGCTTCATCAGTCCAATACAAAGAGGAAGGCGTAAGGAGAGGAGGAGAATGAGGTAATCAGTCCCTCAACCTGGAGTCGATGTGTTCAGTCCATCAATCTTGTAGAATGTACAGCATAGGGCCGTAGACGTGGCTTATATACTGTAGTGAGGTGAGGTGAAGCAGGCGGAGGCGGGGTCATAGTGGTACCATCCACTAGTCGAAGTAGCATCATGGGATCTTGTTACAAAGAATTCTTCAACACTTGTTCAACCTTTGGACGAAGACCTACTTCGACTAGTGGATGGTACCACTATGACCCCGCCTCCGCCTGCTTCACCTCACCTCACCACAGTATATAAGCCACGTCTACGGCCCTATGCTGTACATTCTACAAGATTGATGGACTGAACACATCGACTCCAGGTTGAGGGACTGATTACCTCATTCTCCTCCTCTCCTTACGCCTTCCTCTTTGTATTGGACTGATGAAGCCAC